TCATGTTCGGGATGAATTTAATATTTGGCACAATAAGGGAAAAAAATCAAACTGTCTAGCATTGCCACAGTCAAGGGATTCTCAAGAAATAGATTAAAAAGCATTTCAAAATTATTCAGCATGGGTCCAGATATCCCACCAGCTCATAAAACACTAGTCCTCCATTTCCCATAATGCAAAAACATCCCAGTCTATACACCCATGTCTTTCAAACAACACGCTCCTAGGTTGTAACACAATACTTACAAACAGGTGAAAATAGTTTAAAGTCCTGAATCAACTCAGTCCCACTTTGTGCAGGTGCAAAGCTGGTGTATCTCGATGCATGTTCCAGAGGTTTTGCACACTGTGTAAAAGCCTGTGATCAGCAGTAAAATCTTGCTTGCAACTACATCTTCGGCAGTAATCAGTGTAATGTTCTTGTGTAGCTTGGGGTTAGCCTGCATTTATATATAGATCTCTACACAGGATTTTGTAGTGATAAGTAGGTTTTGTGTAGAGAGAGCTGGATGTCTTTCATGCTTTACCTCTATGCTGCTCTGTCGCCTTCCCTTGGCTTTCCTGTCCTTGTTGTTCCCGTCCTAATTCTCATCTCCCATGCTAACACAAGTGCCTTAACTTACTGCTTGAGTCACTCAGTTCTGGGCTCTTTCTTTTGATCAGGCCTAATCCTCATTATTATTTACAGGCCGTGATTTCTCCCTGCAACCATCGTTGCGCCGCAGCACGAATAAAGTGGCACATAGTATGGACTTTGATCAATTATGGACTATTCGCTAATGGACTGTGTCCCTTCAGTGCTCTCCCACCATCCTTTTCTCTGCATTGTGCTTGCACTCTTTCTCTCTTCAGTTCATTGTGACACTCATGTGTAAAATGAGCTTTAAATTATTTGATAGCTTGTATACCAGCAGAGCTGGCACAATATATTTGGGTAATGGATTTGTGTACAGCACTGGGTCATGCTGGCAATTAGTGTAATAGTCTATTTCATGGCAGAGAGTTCAAAGTCATTCCATAAACATTATAAGGATGTGCACTGTGTACCATCCTTCACATGGCGCCATTAAATAGGACCTGATCTGATCTGCAAATTCCTAATTAGCAATGTGATAGGGAATGATGGCCTAAGCTATCAACAATGGAAACTGTAAACTAGTAATAAACAAATGCAAATACTCTAAATAGCTGTTTCCTTTAAATATGCAAGTAAAAGAATGTAGCATATGCAGAGAGACAAATTTTAGCACGTTAACCAGTTTATAGATAGACTAGATAGATAGAGTTAATTGTCATTCAAATCCACACCATCAACGATGCACATCAGAACCAAATTCTGTTGCCTCTGACTCTGAATAAAATATGGATAAAACTATATATTGTAAATTCTTAGTTTCATCATCTGTTTTCAGCTTTCTGATGATACATTTTCAGATAATTGATTGGGTTTTTAAATGATTTATTCACCTTAGAGTTTTGTCAGGACCACTTTATTCTCCATTTTATCTGTAAATTTCAAATCACTAAGTTTTGCTAGTATTGCATGGTGATGATTTGAAAGTTACAGAAAAAAAAAAACTTTGGAATTTGTTTTACCTTCCTCATCTATCTTCATGTAGAATTCTTTTTTGAAGCATTTGCAAACCTTTTTCAATGTCACTAAATTGATTTGAAGAAAATGTCTCCCTCATGTTTGCACTTGACCCTCTCTTTGAATGAGATGACAAAGCTGCACCAACAGTCACTGACATGCACATCTTTGTTGATACATAGAGAGAAAAGATGAGAAGTTGTCCACTCTCCTCACTGTATGAAAAAAAGAAGAAGATTATTCTGCTAAAGAAGTACTTGTGTATACAGCTTATCGTTGTTTTAAGGAAAGTGTGTGTGTGTGTGTGTGTGTGTGTGTGTGTGTGTGTGAGTGCGTGATGGACCAAAAGAACATAGTCAGTGGTAAGTGGCAAGAAATGGAGAAGGTACGATGTGTGGGCTGTATCTAAGTATACAGATATGTTATGTGTAAAATGTAAGACTCAAAAAGTAGATTTTTATGGTTGTAAACGCAAAACACAATTTAAAGAAATAAGAATTTTTATACACTACAATTAAAGTAGATTATAGATGACATAGATGATAGTCAAGGACTGAAATGTTTACTGCTGCATTATGAGCACTGTTTTTGTGCACAGATAAGAAAATAGACTATTTTTGCATTGATCTCAGCCTGTGAACCTTTGTGTGGCTTTCCAGCCCAGTTGCCCCAGGTAGGCACAGTTTCACATCAGCCATAACACTATACAGTACAATTGACATAATTTCCATGTTATGTGAGACCTTTTGATATATTTTACGCACATAATGTTTATTCTGAAAAGCTGTCAGCTAAGATTGCTTTTGCTGCTTTTATTTCCAAAGAGAGTTTTCTTAACAGAAGGTCATGCTGAATTCCAAGCAAGGCACTGTAAAAGTAAAGAACTTATATTGGTTCAAAGTGCCCCTGGAACAGAGCATGTAGCAGATACCTGTTTAAATAAAGTCCCACAGTTCAGCAGGATTGCAGAGGCGTCTAACAGACACTAAAAGGCAGATGTGAGCGTGAGTGACCTCATGAATTACTGCTAGAAGTAAGAAATGTACTGGATCCGTGAGGGTTTTTGTATGTAAAACAGAAAGAAATCAAAATACTTTATTGAACTTAGTATTGCCTTGTTGAAATACGTTTGATACCTGCTTTATCTGTGATGACACTGGGGATGTAATGGTGCACAAGAGTCACGGTTCATTTCATATCCTAGTTTTGAAGTCACAGTTTGGTGTGAGTTTGGAACAATGGAAAAAAAGGTACATCTCTTTTCATTTACTTTAAACATACAGTAATGTTAGTGCAGTATTTGACTCACACGACAATCAGTTTGGTGTACAAACCTCAGCACACCTCAGTGGTTGAGCCTGAATACACAAATTGCTACAGCTCCAATAACAATAGGCAGAATCGATTGAATTTGCATTTCTATGTTAAATACAATAGTTGTTTCAACAGCATTTCCATTTCTACATTTCAATGTAGAATTGAGACATGCTACACATTGAAATATAGTACTGAAGGTCTTGAAAATACAGTTGTGCATTACCTGTAAGTCTGAAAGGCCTTTTACCCATATTTAGGTCAGTTTTTAATCTAGATGTCTAGATGTATCTTTTGACCTTCAATCACTCCTTCACATCACTGCTCACTGGGTATTGCTGTAAGTCCAATGCAACTATGAAATCTGGCCAAGAATATCTGTTCCGTTCTAACAACAGTCTATTAGAGCAGCTTGTTTGCAGAGTTGGAGGTGGGATTCAGTCTGTAGTCTTGGTTGCACTTTCTGTGATCTCTGTTTCGATTTATGTCTTCCAGTCAGCGCTCTTACCTCTCATGACTTATGAGCCTGATGCATCTTTGCTACTCTTCAAACTTACATAACAGAGAATCACCCATAAAGCTCTGTCATGCATTTATAATGTTTTCCATTTCTGCACCGTGTGTGTTTTGGCGACGTACATCACTAATATTTCAAACAGCAAGGAGTGCAGTGTCTGAGGAACTGAGGTATGACACAAAGCACAATGCTTCATATGCTCCGCTGCTTCCATAAAATCACTGTTTACTCATCTTTATCTTTGGAGTTTCATCTCTTCTTGGGATTTTGTTCTTCCTATCATGGATTTAAACTCTTGCAGCTGACAGAGGGGTTTCAGGTATCAGCAGCAGTTATGGTTTGCACTGACTATTCATCAAATGCAATTGGCCACCATTTATTTCTACACCCTAGCGCCCTAAGATTCCTCTTGCTGTACAAAAGAGTGAGGCAATTGGAAACTGTCATAATTTTGAGCTAAATGCTTCCTGACATGCTCACAATGGTAATTTTACTATGCTAATAATTAGCAGGTGCAACATGAATCATGTTTACCAGCTATGTTTTGAGTGTCGGCATGCTAGCAGTAACTAGTCAGCACTGAACACACAAGTACAGCTGACCCTCTAGCATGACCCCATGGTGATGCAGATTGAAAAGTCAGAGGATCACCAAAGTCATCTGGATACATCTTCATGATTGTCTATACAACATTTGTACAAATTTATCTTGAAGATAAGTGAAAACTTTGACCTGCTGGTGGCACTGTTTAAAAAGTTAGGGGATCATCAAAGTCATTGGGATTCATCCTCTGGGGAATATAGTTACCCATCAAATGTTATTGCGATCCATCCCATTGTTGAGATATTTCAATGAAAAACAACAAATGTCAACCTCGCAGTGACACCAGAGAAAATGTCAGGGATCAGCAAAATCATAACAATTTGTCCTCACAGGACCATGAATGTCAGCACAATATTACATCGTAATGCATCAAACAGCTGTTGAGATATTTCAATGATAAACAAAAATGCCACCCTCGTGGTTGCACTTGAGGAAATGTCAGGGATCATGAAAATTGTGAGGATTTGCCCTCAGGGGATAATGAATTTCAGTACAAAATTAAATGGTAATCCATGAAACAGCTGTTGCGATATTTCAATAAAAAAAACAAAAAACAAATGTCAACCTCACAGTGACACTACGGGAAATGTCAGAGATCATCAAAATCATAATGATTCGTCCTTAGGGGACCATGAATGTCAGTACAAATTTACATGGTAATCTATTAAGCAGCTGTGGAGATATTTACATGAAAACCAAAAATCTGAACCTTGTGTTTTCACTCGAGGAAATATCAGGGATCCTGAAAATCACAGTGATTGATCTTGACCATGAATGTCAGTACAAAATTGCATGGTACCCTATCACGTTGCAATATTAAATATTTATTAAAATGAGACCAACACCATGAGATGTCTGTCTTGTCTGTCTTTCTCAAATTCCACTGGATTCACTTTCTGATTTTGGCCATTGTTGTGAGGAGATTTGTAACAGCCCCTCATTAAGTCCCCTTTGTTTGTCTGTTGTTTCTGGCAGAGATCTCTGGGAATTCAGAGGACATCCCTCTGGTGCGCTGGAGGCAGCAGTGGCTGGAGAATGGCACTCTGCTCTTTCACATCCACCACCAGGATGGCAGCCTGAACCTGCCCGAGCCGACCGAAGACCCGGCCAATGATTCTGCGAAAGAGGAGCTCCGCATCCTGCACATCTCTGTCATGGTAAAACTCTCTACTCTGGGGCTGACTGTTCTCAAAGCAGCTTAAGATGGAAATTGCTTTGACATCCAATATTACGATATCTTTTTTTTTGACATGCAGTCAAAAGAACTTTTTAATTGGCTAAAATCTTTCATTTGAAAAATTAAAATGATAAAGGCAATAAATTGCTTTTCTCTCTTGCTGTTTTATTGAGATGGATATGGAATTAAATATATAAAGTTATTTTAGTGTTGAGTTATTTTCCCTGAAGCTGAAACATTGTCAGAGATATCATCTTTGAGATAAGATAACATATCCCTTCCTCTTGTTTTTGTTTCCCTGTGTATTTCAAATGAAACAGCTGACTGCACACTTTTTCTCAGAGTAAAGGTTTTAGGGAGCAGATAAATCCTGTGGATGTCTGTCACGGTACAATAGCTGCTTTAGAGGCAAAAATGCTTCATTTACAAAATGTCTCTGTGTCTTACATTAATCTTACGGGTATAACTTTTCATTGTCCAAATGTATAAGATATTTCAGTCAAAACCTTAAAAAAAAGCTCTGCCGCTGTCACTCCACTGGCAGATTTGTTTAGAATGGACACATGTCGAGTGCATGGCATGCACTGCAGCCTGATTTTCAGCAGCTTGCCACAGGGCACAGACATGTTCAACACAGCATGTGTATGTAAAGACATGGAGGAAGTGATGGACTCTTGTATTGAAGCAGTAGGTTTCCTAGTGATTAAAACATGAAAATAGATGTATACTTTCCCCCTTTTTATGTCACAGAGACATTAACTATAGGCAGAAAATAATTCTGTGTTTCTGTGTGGAACATATATTTATAAAGTTCCACATTTTGGTTGCAGAATGTAGATTTTCGCATGCCTGCACTGTATCAAACCTTATCTGCTATGTCGACAGAGTAGGAAATGAATCCTTAGATCTCGCAGCTTTCTCCTCTTGCCTGAGGAAATGTATATTTATTAGATCTTAGATATGCCACACCTACTCCCAGTGCCCTTTTCCAGCCCAAAGACATTACAACTGTGCTTTGATGGATGATTTGTATTTTCAGTCATTGAAAGCATATTATAGCTGCATACACAAATGATTAGTCAGCTTGGGAAGACTTCTGCCAGCAGCTACATCTGCTGAACAGAGGAAGGGAGCCGCACTTCGACACCCGCTGAATGTCACCGACCTTGGGACCTTGAAACAAATAACTGTCCTTGACTACCCTCTGCCTGTTTTGCATGTATTAGTGAACATCAAGCCAATCCACTGGGCACACAGGGTTGAGTGGTGACAACATTTTTATGTGGAAATGAGCTAGCGCTGAGGTTCTGCTTCTTACCTCTTTGATTTTTCTCTAATATCACGTTTTTTACTCCCCGCTCTATCTGCGTTTCACATCCCATCAACCTCAGGTCCGTGTCTTTGTGCTCCCTGCTCTGTTAATTCCTCATCCTGAAAGAGCTGCGGCGGCAGCGCTGCCACAAGGGTGTTTTCACGAAGGTGTGGGTAGAGAAGGATTAGCATGCAGATATGAGCAGACCGTGACAACAGATGGAAGTGGTGTTGCCGCTGCGCTGCCCAGGCCCTGCTGCAGCTTGCCACCCTGCTGGAGGCCCCGACCTATAAATCCAAAGCCGTGTCACTTGTTCAGCTCCTTGTGGATACAAAAAGGGTTCTGTGAAGGCTGCTTTACGGGCTTTTTAGCTCAAGCGCACACCTGTCACTGGACCTCTTTCCATTGTATGTCTTGGGAGACTGCAGGACAGCAGCAGTCAGCACAGGTCGCAGTCTGGGAGACGTGGGAGAAAACAGTGGGATACAGCTGTGAATGTCTCAATTGCTTGAGGTCTCAACATCTTACGAAATCCTTCTGGTATACTGTATGTTTATGCAGTAAACAGCAGGGAAGAAACAGGAGGAAAACAGCATGAGACAAAGGTGATTTCAGTTTAGATCAGCTTGTCTATAAGTAATATTAACACCTAAGTAATGTAAAAAAGTACCGGTAATTGCTAAGCTCTGGTGGCATTGCCACAGCAAAGTCAACAGTGCAACCTGTCTGGAGGTGCTTTTACACAATGATTGTGTAAGTTTATTGCAGGTCACTCTGTCCATGATGAGTCTCATAAATCCTTGGTTGGACTGTTTGATATCAATTTGTGGCTGTCAGGTTTTGCAATGAATCTTAACACCATGTGAGTTGTCAAACATGTACAAGAGCAGAGGCATGTCATCTGTTTTGCCTAAACTTGAGTAAAAAATGGCGCTTCCAGAGTGGCATTTCATGTGGCCTGTTGATTGGTTGGTTTACAGAAGTAGGTTTTAAAAGTCAGACTGTGTGAGCATTTATTCATACATTTCTGCCACTGTCTGAATTTCCCTACAGGCTTTCTGTGGTTGCCAAGGTTCCAAATTGGATGTAGGTGGAGGTGTCTCACAGTGCAATCTGGAACCATTGTTTTGGATTGACGACCAAAGATTTTACCTCGTTTGTCTCATGACTGTCAACTTTCATCTCAAATAGCCCCAAATCGCTTAGTGTAAAAGGGCCTTGATTCTGACAAGGTTGTAAACAAACCAACAGATAGTCTGAACGCTTTTATAAAGGTTGAAGTGAAAGCATTTCAAGAGTCAGTTATAATCCCTTATTGCATATAAAAACTGTCCATGCACAGCTATGGCAAGAACAATTGGCCAAAGTGGAACCGAAAAGTCTCGTGTTTCTTTCTGTGTCTGAACTTTTGTCATCAAACAACATTCCCAGTTGTGATCTGCTTCGGCCTAAAACCTGAACTTCTTTGAGGCCAAACTGGATTGGTGCCGATTTGGATACTCAAACCTGAACCAAGACATCAAGCTTTATTTTTTCTTAATATACCTGACTTAGTTTGTCGACACTCTCTTCTCCTTTCCCCAATAAGTATGCAGATGGTTGGCATAGAAAGAGATATAGGGAAACATGTCCAGTACCTGAAGCCCTGCAAAACAAAATAGCCTTCATTATTATTGATTAATGTGCCAGTTGTTTTCTTGATTAATAGAATTATTATTTAGTCAAGGACTGGGAAACATATTGATATTATATTGATATTGTGAAAGAGACTAGACTTTTTTTTTTTTTTTTTTTTTTTTTACATATTATAGTATCATAGGTTTTGTCTTTTTCAAGGCTGCGTTACGGTAAAGTGATGTAATTTCCTGAACTTACCAGACTGTTGTTGCTGTTCTCTTATTTAACTTAATCCACTTAGTGATTGTATCCAAAAAACTGATCACTGTTTATCAAAAATGTCATTGTGTGAATATTTTGAGAAATAGTCAACCCTACAATATGGTCACAATTTTGATATCAAGGTATTTGGTCACAAATAGTGCAATATTTGACTTTATTAGTCATTGAAATGTCAGAAAATAGTGAGAAAATACCAATCACAGCTTCCCAGAGCCCAATGAGACCTCTTTAAATGTCTTGTTTTGTCTGACAGTTGAAATCCTAAATACATTTCGTGAGAAGTGATATAGAACAGAGAGAACAATAAGTCCTTACACTGGCGAAGCTGGAACCATCAAATGTTTGGTGTTTTACCTTAAAAAACTTACTTAAACAATAAAAATAAATGCTGATTAATTTCCTCTTGATTGACAACTAAATGACAGCACTACATTTAGGCATCTACATTCCAAAGTTGCAAGTTTTTAAAGTGTTAAAATGAAATCCTGCCTGTCCATTAATATTTCTCTTGTGGACTGTGTTTTACACCGCTGTCGCCATGTTTTTATCAGACACATGAAATGGACTTGAAATGGTCCCAGGTCTGCACATCCCAGCCAGCTTGGTTCAGCCAGGAAGCAGGATGTCCAATCTGCCACAGTTCACTGCATGGCCACCATGCCCACCACGAGACTGTTTATGCCTAATGGATGAGTTGAGACTCCAGCATTTTCAGGCATGAAGACAAGCCAGACTTATTATTAGCCTAAACCTAAAGGGGAATCAGGTTCAATGAACTGCACCAAAGTAGGGTCCGAGGCCAAAAACGTCTGGTCCTCCAGCTAGGTTTACCTGAGATCTACAGTTGTAGTGCATTTATTAAAGGCGGTACTGATGATGATTTAAAGAATATTTGAACAAAGACGTGAGTCATTTTCAACAGTTGCACTCTTGTATTTTTGAAGTGTATTAATTCTAAAGTTGGAGTTTTCCTCATGCAGGGTTCAAAGCTTCTCCCCGTACATTCATATCCAACAAGGTGACTACAGTGTCCTCCACTGGCCGTGGCTGGTCATCCATAATAGATGACTAACCTTGTGTATGCCTGTACCAACACCAGATGAGGCACTGGCAGTTCAAACGCACGTCCTCAACTTCAGCTTGAACCCTACAGGCAGAGACGACTGCAAAGCAAATCCCAACACTCTGGCCAAACAAAGACAAATAAAACCACCATACTGTATATTTAGAGCATCAGATATTCAATGTGGCTTGATTAGTTTATCCATTGAGACTCTTAAGTTCCAGTGTATCGTTGCTATGCACAATTCTCCCCCTTTAATTTCCAAATTTTAATCAGCTGCCGTTATGCCACAGCCTCAATGGATCAATCCAATCAGCACATACTGTACGGAGGCATCCAAACTAAACCAAGTCAATAACATTATATGAAAGACTAATACAATTTTTCAAGCTTAGGGGTAAGATTTGATGTTTTGTGAATTTCTTTTAGTGCTATTGTTTTTTCCTCAGAGGCCATAAAGCAACTTTTTAATTTCAGCAAACATCAAAGTGAAACCCAAACCAAAATGTAGACCTCCTATGACAAAAAGTCAACAAATAGAGAGGTAAAAGGACATTGTCCTGTTCTCAACATACAGTAGAGGCACAACTCTCTATAGTCATCATAAATACTGCAGGTCTGGCCCACATAACTACTCACAGTGTCTGTTTAGCTGGATGCTGAACAGTTGGGACAATATGGCCCGATTTGGTTTACCTCAGCTGTG